CAAGTCAACCTAGTTTGACACAGTTGGCAGATTTAGTCCCTCATGCGTATCTTGGTCGTTTCAACTCCGATTCGCATGAAACTTTCCAGATCTCTTAATTAATCTATAAGAAGCTTAAGTATAAAATATCAGTCTCTAATTCGATCCAAAAGTCCATATTCCAATCTAACTTCAATATTTTTCACTTATTTACTACAAGAACATGAGTTACCCTATATGGCCCTATAGTGCACACTTAGACATTTTTTGTGCACTTTTATCATTTTCTCTTTTCAACTAACATAAATAAGCACAAACCCATAATATATTTTATTGACTTAGTTAAACATGTTTAGCAACATAAATGGACTTTTAGTAAGTTGGATGTTACACCGAGAACCCCTACCGAGATTCGTAGTTTCTTGGGTCTAGTGAGGTATTATCGAAAATTCATTCAAGATTCTCATGTATTGCTGCACCTTTGACCAAGCTGATAAAGAAATGTGTTATGTATGAATGAGGAGAGGAACAGAGTAGAGCCTTCCTTTGTTGAAATATCATCTAAGCAGTGCTCCAATATTTTCATTACCAGGTGGGTCTAAAGATTTTGTGGTATACAATGATACTTCAAAACTGGGTGTGTGGTGTGTATTGATGCAAAGAGAGAAAGTTGTTGCTTACGCTTCCAGATAGTTAAAAGATCACGAGAAATAGTACCTGACACATGACATGGAGCTTGCGGCCACCGTTTTTGCATTAAAAATTTGGAGACATTATTTGTTGGGAACCAAATGTGAAATTTTTACTGATCATAAAAGCCTTCAACATTTGTTTAATCAGAAGGAATTAAATATGCGGCAAATATGGTGGATCAAATGGGTGAATGACTATGTCTGTGAAATCCTTTATCATCCTAGGAAGGCAAATGTGGTGGTTGACACGCTTAGTCGAATGGAAAAGAGTGGAACAATGAAAGCCATTGCATTGAGAACGAACCTGATCCCTGGCATTCTTAATGAAATTCTAAGATGTCAAGGTGAAGATGTCAAAGAAGAAAATTTCAAGGCCAAAAGAGTTGGTGGAATAATTTCAACCCTGACAAAGAATGACAAAGGGATTCTATGTTTCCAAGGCCAAATTTAGATACCACGTTTCTAGAACAACCGTGAACTGATTTTAAACAAAAGTCACAGATTGCGATACTCGATTCATCTAGGTACCAATAAGATGTATAAAGATTTAAAACCATTTTATTGGTGGTCAGGATTGAAGAAAGATAATGCAAAATATGTCGAACGATGTTTGATGTGTCTGCAAGTGAAGATTGAGCATCAACAACCATATGAGAATTTACTGTCTCTAGAAATTCCTGTGTGGAAGTGAGATCATATCACAATGGATTTTATCATGAATTTACCGCGAACTCCAAAGGGATATGGTGCCATATGGGTGATTGTGGATCGTCTAACTAAATTTGCACACTTTCTACCAATTAAGGAGAATTATCCTTTAGAAAGACTTACAAAGATTTACATTGAAGAAATCATGACTCGTCATGGTGTTCCTTTGTCTATCGTCTCAGATAGGGACAACAGATTTATCTCTAAATTTTGGAAGAGCTTCCAAAGAGCTATGGGATCTCAGATCAGATTGAGTATGACGTATCTCCCTCAAACAGATGGTAGAGTGAAAGAAAGATTCAGAACCTTGAAGGCATGCTGAAAGCTTGTATTATTGACTTCAAGGGATCTTGGGAAAATCATTTGCATTTGATCAAATTTGCTTACATCAACAATTACCATTCCAACATTCAAATGGCATCGTATGATGTTATGTATGCCCGAAAATAAAGAACGCCGTTGTGTTGGAATGAAGGGGGGGGGGGAGACGTAGTTTAATGGTCTAGAGATCGTTCATATAACTTATGAAATGATATATTAGATACAAGAACAAATTGAAATAGATCGGGACCGACCAAATAGTTATGCCTACAGACATTGTAAACCGATTGAATTTCTAATAGGGGATTTTGTAATGTAAAAGATTTATCCATGGAAGGGTATCATTCGATTTGGGAAAATAGGTAAGCTCAATCCGAGGTATTTTAGACCATTCAGAATTTGTATGCGGGTTGGTTTAGTAGCATATTAGTTGGAGTTGCTTGAGGAACTCAATGCTATTCACAACATTTTTCATGTCTCAAACCTGCAAAAGTGTTTGGCCTATCCAAATTTTGCAGTACCGCTACCTGAGGTGCAAGTTGATGATAATTTGAACTTCATGGAACCCCTGAGGCCATCACTGACTGGAAAACAAAGGTATTAAGAAATAAAGAAATCAGTATTATGAAAGTATAGTGGCATTTTCATATGGGTTAGGAAGCTAATGGGGAACTAGAATCGGAGATGAAATCAAAATATCCTCAATTATTTGACTAAATGAATTCCGGGACAAAATTCTTTTGAGGGGAGGAAAATATGATAACCGGGGTGTGATTGGAAAAGTTTAAGGGTGGTTTTTGTTAAGCGATGAAAATTAAGGTTGTGTTTTCAAAATTGGTTAAAATATCTTTTCTTTTTAAAACCGCCTCTTATCTTCGAATATAAATATGTTTTTATTATTTTGGGGTTTTTGGAGGAGATAAAAATAGAAAGAAGTGTGTGTGTATGTGCATATTTTTGCTATCTGGTCCGAATCAAAAATAGAAACCGAAGAAGAAGAAGAATCTGCCTAAGTGATTATTATCTAAAATTGCTGCTGTTTATCATCTTCGTCTATTGTGTTTTACAAGGTGAGTTTTATTTTAAAAGCATCATTTGATTTGCTTTTGGTGAAGAAACTTTATGGTTTCATACTTGAGGTTTGAACGTGTTTATATGCTATTTATTAGCATAATTTTGGGTTTTGATACGTTATTATCATCTATTTGTAATAAGGATGACATAATCAGGAGTTGGGTATATTTGGTAATAAGGGTGGCATAATCAGAAGTTTGATGTATTTTTGTAATAAGGGTGGCATAATCAGGAGCTAGGTATATTGGTATAAGGGTGGCATAATCAATTTCTGGAAATGACGATCTTTGATCATGAGTTATTGTTATCGCATCAGTAGGATGTGAGGAGTTGGTTATATTGCATCAGTGTGATGCAATGAATTGTGAATATCACATGCTTTGTGGTGCGACATGATGGGTTTATACATCTATATGGTGCAACAAGTTACTGTTATCGCATCAGTGTGGTGCGAAAAAGGGAGGTTAACGCATGTGCTTGATGCGATGAGTTGGTTTATCGCATCCTTGAGATGCAACAAGTGTGTTTATTGCATCCTTGAGATGCGACAAGTGTGTTTATCGTATCAGTGTGGTGCAACAAAGATGGTTATCTCATGTGCTTGATGCGACAAGTTGATATATTATAAGTTTGATGCATCAAACTGTTTATTTTGATGTTCAATGCGATAAAATGAAGCTATCTCATCTTTATGATACGACAAAAGAAGGGTTGTTAAATTAAATCTTATTTTCGTGATATCTTTGATGAAGGATTTTTCAAAAAGATGTTTGGTGATTTTCACCTTGTAATGACAATCAAAGAGATTTCTCAGTAGACATGAAGGTCAAACCCTTATTTGTATTTCAAAATATGCATTACAGGTCGGACACAATCAAGCGATAAGGGGAAGGAAAAGCCGTGAAGAATTTATATTTACTTGCATGGGATGTTGGGAGGTTGTGTTATCTTTTGTATTTGAATACTTGTTACAAATACAAGTTTTATAGCTTTTATATACATTTGAGACCGTATATGTAAAGTTATATTTCTTGATATATGAAAATATATGTTTATATGCAAATGTGATTCTGGGGTATTACAACTGAAATGTAAATGCATGATTGGAAGACTGAATTGGAAGTGTGTAACTGGATTTGACAAGAAATGTAAGGCGAAATTGTAAATGACAAGAATTGTAAAGGTGTTGCTGGAAAGTAAATAAGATGTTGTGACAAGAACAGTAACGTACCAAAACATTTTCGAACTTAATATTAAAAACTTAAAAGTAACAAAGACTTAAGTTAGAGTAGTTATCTAACATAGGGTTGTTTCTGGAAATGAAAGAGTGCCCTCCATTTATACGAGAAGAGGGTCATTAAGCAACCAAAGATAAAAAATCTAAAAGTACAATCATATGAGCCAAATTATTAAAATTCAACTACAGAGTACAAGATTCCTTAAAGTAACTAGACATCTCTTAATTATAGTTATTAGTCTAAAAAGGCTCTCCATATTTAAGCTGATAGAAATACAAATCACCAAGGATCGTTTCTTCTTCAAAAAGTTTATGAAGTTCACGTCATTGACAGTTGTCTTATGCTGCAACTCCTACGGTAGCACCAAAATATTAGCAACTTTCACTTCAAATCATCATAATAAGGCAAACTTCTCCTACTTAGCTCCAAACTCAATAAGTGGTAAAAATAGAATAAAAGACTCAATCTTTGGTGTTTGGGAAACTAAATAGATAGTAATTCCTAGATAATAAGTGCTAGAAATGTGATAAATTATCCAGTTTTCACATTCCCATGAAACTTCCTACGCATGTCCTTGTTCCAAGCTTCAATTTACCTAGTCATGGGCCTAAAACGGTGTCCCAAAGCAAATATTATGCATGTTTAAGCGTGACACCTATTTTTAGCCGAAATACTAAGGGTATACCCGTGGGTTTTTATTGTCCGGACTAGCCATGCCGGATTGCTTTGAAAATTTCTGTGGGACACCTGCAATTTTAATGAGAAGTTTTTCACCAAAAAGAACATGAAAAAATGGTTCTCATACCGCAGATTGCTGGAGCCATGCATTGGCCAAATCGAATGAATGCGTCTCTTGAAGTTTGTACCCATGGCATGATCCTTGTCCCAAGCTTCAATTTGATTGGTCATTTAACCTTGGGTTTTTTCTCGTCTGGACCGACCGTGCCGGATTGCAATGAAAATTTACGTGGTCCATTTGCAACGTTAGTGAGAAGTTTTTCTCTAGAAAGAACTTGAAAAAAAACCCGTCCTCGTGTTGAAAATTGTCGGAGCCACGCATTGGTCAATCGAACGAACGCGCATCGTGAAGTTTATATAAACCCACTCAATCATGATATATTACCATGAAAATTCGTACCCATGTTGTGCTCCATGTTCCAAGTTTCAATTTAACTGGTAATAGGCCCAAAATGGAGTCCCATAACAATATTTATGCAGGTTTAAGCGCGACAACCATTTTTAGCCAATAAATCAAAGGTATACCCTTGTATTTTTCTCGTCCAGATCAACTGTGTCGGATTGCCATGAAAATTCTACGGGCTATCTGCAATTTTAATAAGAATTTTTTCAACGTAATGAACTAAAAAAAACCGTTCTCATGCCAAAATTTGTCGGATCCATGCATTGGCCAAATCGAACGAACGTGCATCGTGAAGTTCATCTAAACTTACTCAAATCGTGATATATAACAATGAAACTTCAAACCCATGGCGTGCTTCTTGTTCCAATCATCAATTTGATTGATCATGGGCCTAAAATAGAGTCCCATAGCAAGAGTTATGCATGTTTAAGCATGACATTGATTTTCTCGTCCGGAACGACCGTGCCAGATTGCCTTGAAAATTTATGTAGGCTATCTGCAATTTTAATGAGAATTTTTTCACCATAATGAACTAGAAAAAAACCATTCTCATGCTATAAATTGTCGGAGCCATGCATTGGCCAAATCAAACGAACGCACGTCGTGAAGTTCGTGTAAACCTACTCAAATCATGATATATAGCAATGAAACTCCATACCCATTGCTTGCTCCTCGTTTCAATCATCAGTTTGACTTTTCATGGGCCTAAAATGAAGTTTCATAGCAAGAGTTATGCACGTTTAAGCACGATACTCGTTTTTTTTTACCGATATACCAAAGGTATACCCTTGGGATTTTCTTGTCTGGACCGACTGTGACATTGTCATGAAAAATTCTGTCGGCCATCCGCAATGTTAATGAGAAGTATTCCAACGTAAATAACTTGAAAAAAACTCGTTCTCATCGGACAGTTAGTCGAAACCCACATAAATCATGTTGTGTTACCACAAACTTCCAACCTATGGTGTCCTTATCGGTCCAAGCTTCAATTTGATTGTTCATGGGCCTAAAATGGAGTCATGTTACAAAAGTTATGCACATTTAAGCGCTACACCTATTTTTGGCCGAAACACCAAGGGGCACACTTGGGTTTTTTTCGTCCGGACCGACTATACCAGATCGCCATCAAAATTTTCATGGTCCATCTATAATGTTAATTAGAAATTTTTCACTAGAAATAACTTGAAAAAAAAAATCGTTCTTGTGCCGAAAATTGCGGAATCACGCATTGGCCAAATCGAACGAACGTGCGTCGTGCAGTTTGCCAAAACCCACTCAAATCATGTTGTGTTACCAAAAAATTACAATCCATGGTGTGATTCTCGTTTCATGATTCGATTTGACTAGTCATCGACTCAAAGCGAAGTCTAATAGCAAAAGTTATGCATGTTTAAGTGCGACACCTATTTTTGTGGTCCATCTACATTGTTAATGATATGTTTTTCTCCAGAAATAATTCGAAAAAAAACTGTTCTCGCGCTTAAAATTGTCGGAGTCACGTATTGGCAAATCGAACGAATGCCCTTCAAGTAGTTCATCGAAACCCACTCAAATGATGTTGTGTTACCACAAAACATCCAACCCGTGTAGTTCGAAGCTTTGATTTTATTGGTTATGGGCCTAAAATGGAGTCTCGTGCAAAAGTTATGCACGTTTAAACGCGACACCATTTTTGGCTGATACACAAAGGGGGTACTAGTGGGTTTTTCTCGTCCAGACTTATCATGTAGGATTTACTTGAAAATTTACGTGGTCCATTTGCAATGTTAATGAGATGCTTTCCACCAAAAAGAAGATAAGAAAACCATTCTCGTGCTGAAAATTGCCGGAGCCATGCATTGGCCAAATCGAACGAACACGCGTCATGTACTTCTCTCAGAACCTACACAAATCATGTTGTATTACCGCAAAACTTCCTGAAATGGTGTTCTCATTCCAAGATTCGATTTTACTGATAATGGGCCTAAAACATAGTCTCCCTTGTTTTCAATACTTAGTGGATTGGTCGAACCAAGTAGGGGTGAGCATAGGCGGGTACCCGTCCTTTTTGACAGGAACCAGAACCGGAACCGGAACCGGCGGTTCTTGAGATATTGGAACCGGAACCGGAACCGGTTAGAGCGGTTCTTAAATTTTTGGAATCGGAACCGGAACCGCCGGGAACCGGTTCCGGTTCCGGGTACCCGCTTCCTAAAATATTAAAATTTTGTTATTTAGAAATAAAAAATAAAACGTTGCCAAAACACTAAATAAATAAGCAAGAATACAAATTATATATAATAATGGTTACAAATATTGTTTAACGATTACAAACCATAATAGACTAATGGAAAATGTTCAAAGTTTAACGATTACATACTATAATGGTAAATTTTCAAAGTTTAACGATTACATACTATAATGGTAAATTTTCAAAGTTTAACGATTACATACTATGAATCCAAGTGAACACACAATTTAAAAAAATACGAAKMATTMTATATGAAGAATTTAGATGAAGAATGAAGATGACGACGTGCTTTCAAGATGTAAACCAAATATTTGGTATTAAAAAATAATAATAATTTTTTTATTTAAAAATACCGGGTACCCGGCGGGGCGGTTCCGAAAAATTGAGAACCGGAACCATTCTCAATCGGTTCCGTATTTTAGGAACCGAAACCGGAACCACTCATATCGGTTCCGGTTTCGGTTCCGGAACCGGCAGTTCCAAGGCGGTTCCGGTTCCATAGCCGGGTACCCGGTTCCGCTGCTCACCCCTAGAACCAAGCCTTCGCAATTTTAGAATCCCCCTGTCGAATGGCCCGTTCTCCCCGGTTGGCATAAGTGGATTAATTCCTTTCTGTAGAACTATACTTGAGAGTTTCCTACCTCATACGCCTTAGTAGTCTACTCGTAGCAAAAGTTATGTGTGTTTGAACGTGACACCTATTTTTGTCCGATAAACCAAGGGTATAACCTTGGGTTTTTCTTGTCCAGACTGACCGTGTCAGATTGTCATGAAAATTTTCGTGGTCCATTTGTAATTTTAATGAGAAGTTTTTCACCAAAGAGAACTTGAGAAAGACGGTTCCCATGCCTAAAAATTTCCAGAGCCACGCTTTGGCCAAATCGAACAAACATGTGTCTTGTAGTTCGTCGAAACCACTCAAATTATGTTGTATTACCAGAAAACTTCATAAAATGGCATGCTCCTCATTTCAAGATTCTATTTTACTGGTCAGTGGCCAAAAAGGAGTCCAATAGGAAAAAATTTGCACGTTTAACCGCGACGTCCGTTTTTAGTCGATACACCAAGGGTCTTTCTCATCCGAACCAACTGTTCTGGATTGCCATGAAAATTTTCATAGGCCGTATAATGTTAATAATAAGTTTTACCAAAAAATAACTTAAAAAAAAATGGTTCTCATGCCATAAATTTCTAGACTCACTTATTGGCAAATCGAATGAATGTGCCTCGTGCAGTTTATCGAAACCCATTCAAACCATGTTATATTAGCATGAAAATTTCTACCCATGTTTTGATCCTCATTCTAATCTTAAATTTGACTTGTCATGGGCTGAAATGGAATCTCATGACAAAAGTTAGTGCGACACCCATTTTTAGCCAATACACCACGGAGTACCCTTGGGTTTTTCTCGTTCGGACCGACCATGTCAGATTGCCATGAAAATTTCTATGGTCCATCTACAATGTTAATGGCAAGTTGTTCTCGTGACGGAAAATGTCGGAGCCACGCATTGACCAAATCGAACGAACGCGTATCATGTAGTTCGTCAAAACCCACTTAAATCATGTTGTGTTTCCACAAAAATCCCAACCTATGGCGTGCTGATTGTTCTAAGCTTTGATTTGACAGGTGATGGGCCTAAAATGAAGTTCCATTGCAAAAGTTATGCATGTTTAAACACGACATCCATTTTTGGCCAATACACCAAGAGTTTACCATTGGATTTTTCTCATCCATACTGTTAGCTCCATTATTCCTATCTTGTAAAAGTATAGAAAAAGTATATTGTATGACCTGACAGAAGGTTAACTCCACAGAAGATAACAGAGAACCAACTGCAGAAGATGCTCAAGCGAACAACTCTCAAGTGACAGAACCTCTGTCGTGTCTCACAGAGGTTCTGGAAAATAGTCCTCTGTCAAAAGAACACGCAAGTCTTTTACAGCAGAGCCTCTGAGATGGCTCACAGAGGGTCTGCGGTTTTCTTCTTCTGAGAAGTTTCTGTTCTAACAGTTTTCGAAGGTAGTTAGCCGCATGTGCTTCTCACGTGACTAGGCCTTAATCGACTTTCTTTGGACGACTCAGATGAAGACACGTGTCAAGATCTAGTCTCTAAGGTCGTTAGGAACTAGTATAAATAGCGGATAGGGCCTTTGTAAACTGTGCGCTTCTAGTATTGTAATTGTCAAAATTTTCAATTGAATTGATTGAAAACCTTTGGAGCAATTTTCTTGCATTCATCTTCTTCGTTGAGACTGTGTGTTCTTGGTGTGTTAAGAAATTCTAATCACTTACTCACTCTGTTTTGCTCTTATTAATATTTCCGCTGCACTTCAATTGTTTTAGAGCTTATTTAGAGTATTAGATCAATACCAAAGTTGAATTCAGATCCAACAATTGGTATCAGAGCAAGTTTTGAATTCTAATTCAATTAATTCTGCTTTTGGTATTAATCTGTGATTCCT